GAAACATAGTTAGTACAAGTTTAAATTTAAAATACAGATAGTGGTTGGACTAATATTATAAATATCAGTTAAAGAAAGATTTAACTGAGAAGTCAAGTTAGAAATTCCCAAAAACTTCCAAAAAATCATGGGAAATGGAAATAAGGGTCAAGGATCAATTCAGCCAAAAGAAGAAATTGGGGTTAGAATTGGATTCAATTCAATTTGACACTTCTAATGTGTTTAAATGATGAAATAGTATGAGGAAACACTAAGAAAAGAAGCTTGGAAGCATGAAAATTGAAAATAAAAATTTTGAATTCCAAAGGCATATGTTTTGGCCAAGCTTGGATCATTAGGGAGGAGTTGGATTTTTATAAATCTAATTTGATGATTGGATTCTACATAAAAAAATTACATAGGAATGGCTCACGAGAATTAAAGAATCAAAGGTGTAAATAATAACCCAAAAATCAAAGAAAAAGATATTAAGGGTTATTTGATTAATGCCTTGGATGGAATAATAATTTGTGATGCCCTATTGTGCAATTAATAGGCCTAGCATCAAAAGAGAACAAGATTTGCTTAAAGGGAAAAGTTTGAAAGAAGAGGAAAAACTTGAAAGAGGTAGCTAGTATTTACTATCTGGATGTTACATTTTGTTGTATTTATTGCTATATGTTATGCTATGTTGCTATGTCATGATGTGGATGAGATGATGATGTTATGTGATGTATAGCTCCATGCATGTAATGCCTTGGCTTATGCAATGTTGAGTGCTATGAATGAGAAGTATGTTATTCCCTTTCCATGGCATGTGCATTAAGTGAAAATATGTTATAGCTAGTTAATGTAGCATGTAATACCTTGCTTGTGTGACATTGTGAATGTGATGCTATGCTACTAAGATTCCTATGAATCTTACTCCATATGTTCAACAAAAACCTAGGGCCTTCATCATCAAAAGGAAAGGGCAAGGAGGTGGCCAATGCGTGAGGAAGTAATAAATGAAATGAACTAGGGCTTCAAACCTTTCTTGTTTTTATGGATGAATGTAAATTAACATTTTGTGGATGAATTTATGAGAAAACTTCATGTAATCACATGATAATGTTATTAAAATTAATTATGGGGTTGATTAATTGGTATGCCAAGCTAGAGATTAACTATGGAAAGGAAAGGTAACTAAAGGGTCAAAAGTCAACCTTTTGGGATGGAACTTTGAACAATGTGAATCTGAGCAGTCAAGTGAGATAAATCACACAAATTTCTAGATCAATAGATCTAATTTTTCTCTTTAAAATGAATGGTACTATAACTCAAACGGATATTTGTACAAAAAGTTATGCCTATCCAAAATTAGGCAAAAATACTAAAAAATTAAAATATGACCAAGTGAACAGTATGTTTTAAAAATAAAACTGGGCTCGAATTTAAAAACAATTCATCTAGAACCTCTTTTCCCTCAAACAATAATCTAAAGACTTCCAATAAAATTTAGAGCCTCTCAATTTCAATTTTCCTAAAATTAGTTATGATTTTTCAAAGTTTGACTAAAATATGGATTGTTGTGAATAACTAAGCAATGCAAAGGAAACAAGTTTAGAAAGATTTTACGAAGATGAGCAGAAGTAGAACATGCAAAAATTTATACTAGTTTAGTCTCAACTACTTGACTTACGTCCAATCCTCAGAGTGTCTTTAAGTTTTCCACTAGTCACCAAGATTCAACGGGCTCTTGGTGCCATAGTATAGTAATTGAGCTCACTCTCAATCCATCCCAGATTCTTGAATCACTCATTGAAAGTAATGAATGATTAGAGATTCTCTCTCGAGAGTGTATAAGATAAACACAGAAGCTCAGACAGTAAAAACAAAGTAATGAATACAGAGATTAATTTCGACAATTGGCAGCTCGGTTTATTCACTGCTTTATTTAATACTCTTTGTGCCATTTATAGTTAGAGTCTTTCAAGTTTCCGTTAGACATAAGAGCTTGTAATTGTTGGGATATCACTTGCATGTGTTGGTAGTTACAACGATTGTTCGTAATAAATGCACTTATGACATAGTAGCTTGAGCCTATAATATAACCATTATGCTTCATAATCTGTAGAAGTGCCTTAGTAGAGAAATAAGATTTCTTCAAGAGAGAATATTAGAGAACAATAGAATAGATGATGATCTTTGAACTTTAATACAAGAAGTGAAAATCATAAATTAAATATCAGATAATCAAAGAATCAAATTATCAAAGACCTAATCGCTAAGCCCTTAATTGATAAAGTTATCGATTAATAGAGAAAGAAGTAATGTAAAATACAGACTCACTTATCGAAGTTATTATGGATCATGCACTTTGTGGAATAGGTTATCAATAAATGGTGAAATATAGTCAAAGTGATTTTATCAAGAAAATTTATCTAAAAAGCTTGTAAATTGAATCAGGTGCCTTCTCTGTTTTTCGTAAGAGTATAAAATGTTTAATGAAGGCTGAGAAAAGCTTAAAGATAATTATATCATAATTTCTGAAGATAACTTGAAGAACAGTTTAAAGAAAATGTATTTGAATTTTATGGAACAGATTATCGATAATTCACTTTATCAAATAGTTTATCGACAATTGAAGTAAGTGTAGAAAATCATTTTAACCAAATTATCTATAATGTTATCGATAAGGACTTGATTGAACATTTTATCTGAAAGGATATCTGAAAGACTTAGACAGGGTTAGATCGAAAGAGGTGACATTTATCGATTAAACGATCAATAAGGGTAATTATCGATTAGATGATCGATAATTGTGATTATCGATAAAATGATCGATAATAGACCGAGTAAAACTTGAAGTAAAGAAATACTAAGTGAAGCATGATCGAATACATTATTGAACAATGTAGCAAGACAAACTTAACAATTTTAGAACAAGTTATCGATAAGTAAGATATTCGATAAGGTGATGGATAACTACAACCGTATTCTAAAAAGATATGGTTCGAAGAGAACTTACCAATACTCTGTCACGTGATCGATAATCTCACTTATCCCTAAGGTTATCGATAATGGCTTGTTAACAATGAGAAAACTTATCCTTTTTATGTGATAGCTTATCGATCAATTGAATTATCGATCAAGTGATCGATAATTGCTTAATAGAAAACACATTAAAGCAAGTTTACCAACGATCGAACAGGTGATCGAATAAAATGTTAATCAAAGAAGTTATCTAGCAAAGTGATTATGTAACACATTATCGATAAACCTTATTAGTAACTAAACTCACATAGAGCCAGTCATTTATCTAACACGTGTTTGATCAACCCAATGATCCATATTAGCATTTAGGTGAGTTTGATGAGTTAAGGTTCTAGCTCATTGTATTCATTGTTTGTAGAAGGTCTTCACAAACCGAGTCTAATAAAGGAACTAAACTCTATCAAGAGAGGAACTAGGATGATTGGTGGACTTAACCATCAAAGATACTTCATACATTGTATTCACTTCATTCATTAAATATAGAAATTACAAATAGTTTTACTTTAGGTTTGATTTAGTCACTGATTATACAAACACTTCATACATCATACTTGGTTAATTTGATATTTGTGATAGATTACTAAGACATCCATAGGCTCCTCAAGAAATTGACATCTAGGTTAGTGCTACTATATTGCATTTAGCTTAGTTTTATTTGACAGTCCAATGACAGGGCAGCATCAAATTTAGCGCTGTTACCAGGGAGCCTAGCTCTTTGGTAATCGTGTATCCAAATATCATTTTGACTAGTTGTGATTTTTGTATTTTCTTAACTTGTGTTTTCTTGTTTTCAAGAAAATTTTCTGAAAAATCTAAGAAAAATTTTAGGGTATAATTGATTCTTTGATTGGTTTAGTGCTTTTGCATATCTACTGAAAAATTGCTTTTGGAGGTTATCTTGGTGAATTGGGAAGTGGTTGTGGTAAGAACTGATTGAAATATGCTCTGTTCTACATCAGGAATTTGATTCTGTCAACTTGTTCATCGTGACAAAGCCCTCTAATCACCGCGACTAAATCTTGAAAAGAGGAGAAGTTCAATTCAGCCAAGTTGTTCACCGTGACCAACTCTACCTTTAGCCGTGACGAAGTGCCATTCTGTAGACACTTTTAGGGACTGTCCTGAACTATCTTTCTTAGTATTCTTTGAATTGTTGACATTCTCTAGAGTTTCTTAAACTGCTATTGACTTGTATTCATTGATTCTTTGATTGGTTTATTTAAATTCTTGATTCTTGAAGATTGAATTGTTGTTGGGTGCTTAATTGCTTTAAGTGGTCTAAGTTTTATATGACCCGATCTGGAAAAGAAACACTTTTGCCACTTGATATTGAAATAAATAAGACTTTAAGAGCACTTAAAAAGGAAAGATTACTTGAGGGTACTAGTAGTTTACATCTTGAGCATCCTACACCTTTTACACCTCTATTTTCACTACATTCTAAATATTCTTGTGATTCAGCTGAGTTTTCTAAATTTGATTCTTCACTTGGTAATTACATAGACCATCATTTTATCATGGACTAGAATAATATCCCTAAGGATAATGAACCGCCTAGAGAGGAGGAAAGACCTAATTTGAATAATAATGTACAAGAGAAACAAGTTGAAAACAATAGAGCTAATGTTAGGCACAGAAGCATAAGAGAAATGAACTCTTCAAATGTTGATTATAATCCTTATGGCTTCCATAACTTTAATGCCGATTTTGAATTGAAAGGAGCTTTGATAAGTGCCTTACCTAAATTTCATGGCAATACAGGAGAGGATCAACATAGACATCTCCAAAACCTTAACACGATATGCTTTTCCACGAAGCCTCCCGGTGCCCACCTTGATGATGTACTGAGTAGAGCCTTCTTGTTTTCTGTGGAAGGCAAGGCTAAGGAATGGTTGCATATGTTGCCTTAACATTTTGCAATACTTTCATGGGAGCAATTGAAGAAGCAATTCTTAGAAAAGTATTTTCCAGCTTCAAGGATAGCTAGAATGAGGAAAGAGATCTACGGTGTTCAATAAGGGGTTGGAGAGAGCTTGTATGAATATTGGGTAAGATTCATAGGCCTCCCTGCCAAATGCCTACATCATCAAATTTCTCAACCACATTTGGTTCAATATTTCTATGATGGGTTACTAGATCATTAAAAGTCTACCATTGATGCTGCTGCTAGTGGTTCTTTAATTGATTTGACTTCTCAAGGTGTATGAGATTTGTTAGAGAAGATGGCTGCAAATAATGAACAGTTTGGAGTTAGAGATACTGCTCAAGTACGTGGAGTAGGGGCTTGGCAAACTGATGAAATTCTGAATAAGGTGGCCATTCTAAGTATGGTGTGTATGCAAAAGGCCATGTAAACTCAACAAAGCCACCAAGTTAAAGCTCTACACTCCACTCCTATGACTCAACCTCTTATTCCTACCACTTATGATGTGTGTGCTAGTCCTATGAACACTACTCCTAATTGCCCCTTTATGGTTGAATCTAGAGATATAGCTGCCATGAACTTTCAAAGACCTAACTAGTTTTCTCAAAACACTTATAACAATGGTTGGCGAGGAGACTTAGCATCAAAGTGGAGTGGCAATGGTAATAGAGGATTTCAAGGTGGTCAAGACAAGGAAAATATGTATAGAGGTGCTGAAAATTATCAAGGATAGTTTAGGAATGCTTCTATGGGAAATGATGTAGGACCATCTACAACAAGAGAGATCCCAATTTAAGAACTAAATAGAGAGGACACTTTATTAAAGATGATGAGCAAGCTATGTGACAAAGTAGATGTCACATCCAGTAATATGGCAATTAGGAATAAGGATATTCCTCAATATTCAAGGGCCAAGAAGTATAAGGAGAAATAGAAGAATTATGGTAGAAAATAATTAGTATGATTTTCCAAGTCAATTATGAAGGTTTGACTAATTAAGAAAAATTGGTTAAGAATAATTATGGAAAAATATTTCCAAGCCTTAGAAAAATTAAGAAAAAATAAGGATAATATTCCTTGAGAATTATATGAGGTTATATAATTAGTTTTATGACCAAATTGCCTTTAGAGAAATTACAAAGGAATTTAAGGTTGATTTAGCCTAATATAAGGCTTTTTATTTGGAAAATTCCAAATAAATATTTGGAAGGAGAATTAAATCCCAAGAAAATTCCTATGATGCCCCAAGAAATTATAAGAGATTATAAAATTAAAAGGAGACCCTCAATTATCCAAGATTTTTCCTAATTATTCAGAAAAGTAGAAAAATCACTAAAGAGGAGGAAATTAGTTTTCCTTTTTATCTAATTATTGAGAAATTGATTTGGACACAAAGAGGGAATTTTGTGGAGAAAAAATAAGGAGAATAAATTATGGATCTAGCAAAAAATAATTACAGAGGCCTGAGTACTGTAATTATAGAAAAGAAATTAAACCCGGAGTAAAAAGTGTACCGATAAAGTGTAGATTAGAGTCTTGTACTTTACTTGGCCCACAAGTTGCCATTTGGCAAGCCTCTAATGAATGGCAATTAAACTTTCCAAGTGTCAACATTAAGTAGAGAGGATCTTGACCTTGGAATTTAACTACATTATGCTTTACTTAATTAAGAGAGAAGTTTCAAGACTAAGTAGAAAGGTGACACTTGGCAACTCATTAAATGATGGATGTTGGGATATTTTTTGCACTTAATTGAGCTCTTCCTCCTGCTAAATCAGACTTAAGTTTTGGCCAAGGAGAGAGCAAGAGAGAAAAAGAAAGAGCTTGAAGAGGATTTAAGGGAAAAACTACCAACTTGGATCAAGTAAGCTTGGAGTTAAGGTTAGTGGATGATTTTACATTGTTCCTTGCTTGATTCCCTTGAGTTTTATGGTTGAAATTTCTGGTTTTCTTCCTTCTTGGGTGCTGGCCGAAATGTTTAATAAGTAAGGAAAGAAGTTTTGTTGTTCAATCTTTTTAGAACACTTTAAAGTATAGTTGTTTCAAGTAGTTTCAAGCGGTTGTATGTTATTTTTGGAAAGACTTCTTGGTTGAAACTCAAGAAGTGCTATTTGGCCAAACAATGATTTTGCCCTAGGATGAGATTTTGCATATTTTGATGCTTCTATTGGCTTTAAAATGAAGTTTTGTGTAGGGTAAACCTAAGCCATAGGCATTGAAATGCATTAAAATGAAATTAGACATTAAAGGGCCATAATCACCACCTCTCGGCCAAATCAAGATCAATAGGGAGGAGATGTGTTTTTAAAATTCCAAATCCATATTTGGATTCTACATGAAAAATCATGTAGGAATGAATGAAGAAAGAATTTTTAGGGTTAAGGAAACAAGCTCTAAAAATTAAGAACAAAGAGGGAAGCTTTAAAGGGCTTAGGAATTTATTGAATTTTGTTGTTGATTTTTGATATGGTTTGGGTTGTAATGTTGCTGTCCCTTTCATGGTTTTTGATGTTAAGGTTTATTAATTGTGGAGGAGAGGAAGAAGATCAAAGAATCATAGAAGCTTTTGGATCAAGGTAGTAAAATTTAATTAACCTTAATGTTGAGTGTTGCATTGATTGCTATGCAATTTCATGTGCTATTATATGGTTAAGGTAAATGATAATAATGATGATGATTGTATAGTTATACTCTTTGCTTTAAGTGCCTTGGCTATTGCATGTTGGAGTGCTATATATATGAGGTAAAGTAGTTCCATATTAATAGCAAAAGGTTGGAATGCTTGTAATTGATGCATGTTGATGTTTTGGTTGATTGATCTTGCTACTGGGATTTTGTTGAAATCTCATCCCCAATATGTAACCTAACATTTTAGGGACTGAATCATCAAAAGGAAGGCTGCAAATCCAAGGATAAATATGGTGATGAACCATGAGGAAACATTTATATTTGGTTATGTACAAGTATGTATGGTTGGTGCTGTAATTACTAAGCAGGACGCCCACTTCGAGCCATGTTTTTATTAAGTTTCTGAACGAATTTATTCACAAAATTTGGTAGGCTTAAATTTCACATCATGAGCTTCATTTTGATAGGTCGCACATTAAAAATAGCCAACTATACAATTTTTAATGATTTTTTACATTTAAGGTCCAGAATCTAGAAAAAGAGTTTTTACCAAAAGGATAAAGGTGACTTTCACAAAAACTTGACACTTTTTCAAATAGAATTGGTTCACAAGATTATTTTTCTTTGAAATAGCATTTAAAGATATTTCTATATAATTTTGAACCACTCCATTTTGATTTTTTTAGATTAAGTTATGAATTTCTGAAATTGGACCAAAAGACTGGATTTTTACCTGATGAACAGTAAAATCTGAAAATCAGCATTTTTTTGGGGATACTTTTGAGCCCAAGACCATCCAATGTGGTCTAGAATGTCTTAGAATAAATTCTAAACCATACTAGAAGTAAGGTGTAACAGTGGAGCAACTTGAAAATTCTTCCATTTCCACTGATTATTCTCCTCCATTTCCCTTCAGATCATTGCTGCTATGGCCATGGAAGTTGTAGAGCTTGGTGAAGTTGTGATTTCAGTCATGAGAGGATAGATCTTCATTCCTTGGTGTTCAATGAAGCCAATCTGAGTTCCTGGAGCTACAATTGGGAGTTTCTTCTACCTTAATCTTAGTTTCACTCTTTACATTCATAGATTGTAGTTTCTATAGTTTAGATTTATGATTTGCGATTATAAAGAGGTGTATTCTGGTTCTTTTGCATTAAGACTGAGATTTGGATTGTATTCTGCACTTTAATTAATTAATTGAATTGATATTTCCTTTTGTTATATTGATTCTTTCTTCTCAAGTGTTTAAATCTCTTCATTGATCGGTTAAGGTGCTAACATTGTTAATTAAGAGAGTAAAATACCTTTTGCAGAACATAATCCATATTAGCATTTAGGTGAGTTTGATAACTTAGGGTTCTAGCTCATTGAATTCATTGTTTGTAGAAGGTCTTCACAAACCGACTCTAATAAAGGAACTAAACTCAATCAAGAGAGGAACTAGGATGATTGGTGGACTTGACCATCAAAGATACTTCATACATTGCATTCACTTCATCCATTAAATACAGAAATTACAAATAGTTTTACTTTAGGTTTGATTTAGTCACTGGTTATACAAACACTTCATACATCATACTTGATTAATTTGATATTTGTGATAGATTACTAAGACATCCATAGGCTCCTCAAGAGATCGACATCTAGGTTAGTGCTACAATATTGCATTTAGCTTAGTTTTATTTGACAGTCTAATGACAGGGCAACATCAGTAATCTGTCCTATCATAGACATCTAGAACTCTCCTTGCATTAACTTGGCAAACTCTTGGCAAAGATCCTCATTAGTAGCACTGAATATAATATCATCTACATAAAGTTGAACTATTAAGAGTTCCTTTTTATTTCTTTTGATGAAAAGTGTTACATCAACTTTGCCCCTTTCAAAAAATTTTCTATTAGAAAATTGCTAAGACGTTCATACCAAGCTCTAGGTGCCTGTTTCAATCCATAGAAGGCCTTTTTCGGTTCATAAACATGATCAGGAAGATTTAGATCTTCAAATCCAGGAGGTTGTTTAATGAAAACTTCTTCCATTATGTAACTATTCAAAAAGGCACTTTTAACATCTATTTGATACAATTTGAAATCTTTTGTATAGGCAAAGGCTAAGAGTACTTGTATGACTTCCAATCTAGCTGCTGGAGCATAAGTTTCCTCATAATCAATACCTTCTTCTTGATTGTAGCCTTTTGCCACTTGTCTGGCTTTGTTCTTGACGATTTGTGCAGATTTGTTGAGCTTATTCTTGAATACCCATTTGGTGCCTATGACTGGATGGTCATTAGGTGGGGGTACCAAGTCTCAAACTTGATTCCTCTCAAATTGGTTTAGCTCTTCCTACATGGCTGCTATCCAAAATTCATTAGATAGTGCTTTGTCAACATTGGTTGGTTCAATGTTTAAGATAAATATAGATAAACACACTACATTGAAGACTTGTCTTTTGGTTTTGACTCCTTTATTGACTTTACCAATGGCTTAGTTTGTAGGATGGTCCTTGTTATATCTCCAAGCCTTAGGTTGATCTAAGTTATCTTA